TCGTTCCGGGGTTGAAGACTTGAAATAGTTTTATGTTCTGAGGAGGGTTGGGCACGGCTCGGGTCGGTACGGGTAATTGATGAATTTTCAAGAATCGTCGGTTTCATTTAACGTAAGGGTGGAGCCAGTAAACTCATATTGGGGGTTCAATATATTTTTTGGGGGTCGAAAATTATTTTTTGATGGGGCGGATATTTACTTTTCGTATATATATACATTAAAAAAAATTGTTGTGGGCCTGATTTAATGGGTAGATTCGGTCCGGGTATATCAAGTTTCGAAATAGGAACCGGACCTGACCCGCACCATTTGAAACGGGCCGGTTCGGTCCGAGTCCTCGATTCTTTTTTTGTCAAAAAATATACGGCTATGCAAGCATAATTTCTAGTAAGTTATAAAATTCTCAAATTAATCACATATTAATGTAACCATAATATAGTAAAAGTTCAAAATAAAAGTGTAAGACAACATTTTAAATTAGTTAACAAAATATCAAATCACAAATCTATAAATTAAACAACACACAACCACCTTAATTAAAATGTTAATGATCATTCATAAACTAATTAAAATATAGCACAATAAGTTCATAAGAAATTAAACTAGTTACTATACATATTTATCTATGGAAACAATTTAAAGTTTATTAAATCTCCAAGTGTAAGTAAAATTAAGATAATTAAATAAATATGTCACACTTCATTGAGTAAGAGTCTTTGTTTACAAAAAAAATATTAAACAAAGATAGTTTGATGCATTTGGAATAGAGAATTGAGGAAAATAATTTAGGGGTTTAATTATACGGACTTGTAAACTCTTTTCAATAGACTGATAAGTTTTTTTAATTGGAAGTCTTTGTCTAGACACAAAAACATGAAGAGCTTTGGTGTGATTTTAGTATATAATATTATACTAGTATTAAATATAATAGAGATTATTAAAATAATATTTTAAAACTATTCGGTCCGGGTACCCATTTTTTCAAATTTTAAGACCCGTTCGATTCCTAAGTTTTTCAGGACCCACCCCGCCTCGAACCGTTTGGCTTTTCTAAAATTAGGATCCGGCCCTAATCCGCCCCGAACCTATATCACCCGCCCCGCTCCGCGGTTCCCGTACCCGTTTGCCCACCCCTAAGGCATACATGCTTTCCTTCAAAGTTGTATGAAAATAAATGATAAAAAAAGTTAAAAAAAATAAAAAAATTAAAAAAATTATAAACAATAAAAAAATAAAACTATTATTTTACTATTCGTATTTTCATAAAATAAAATAAAAGTTTGATGATCTATAAAAATTAAAAAATAAAATGATTAATAAAGAGATAAAGTTAGAAATTAAAAAGTAAATAAATTTCATTTCTGTTAAGACTCAGGGTTCCATTCTAAAAGGTGAACCTTATATGAGGAGTAGTTCAAAGTCTTATATATATAGTGTATTATTGTTTTTATAGCTTTCCGGTGTGGGACAAATACTTTAACACGCCCCACAGCCGGAATCGGGAATGACAATGTCAGTGTGTATAAATGGGCCAAACAGACCCTTAACAAGTTACCATTAATCATTGGTGTAAACAAACAATCAAACCACAACCGAACTTGGCTATGATACCATGTTAAGACTCGGGGTTCCATCCTAAAAGGTCAATCCGATAGGAGGAGAAGCCCAAAATCTTATATAATGTATTATTGTTTTTATAGCTTTCCGATATTGGACAAATACTTTAATAATTTTGGTTCATGTTTTTTGACAACCCTAAATGGAAAGTGTGTCTTACAAAGTGAAACATATAAAATATTTGATTATTTGCTTAAAATCTCTTTTAGTGGCACACATTTAAGATTTACTCCTTTTGTCCCACATTTAAAATCCTAATTTCAATTTACGTGTTTTTAGGTAATTTAAATCCTCATTGACTTTCCAATTACCCTCTTCCTCAAAAGTATGATAGACAAATCCAATAATATAATGATGTACTTTTCACAAACCTGGAATATCATTAGGTGATGCAAGTTGGAGTCTTCCTTCAGAGGTGGTTGGACAAACATCCTCTTCCTCCTCGATGAATGGTCAAGTCGAAATGTTGTCTTTGGAGCAGTCTTACCAATCATTGGTAATACTGTGAGCCGCTCCCACGGTATACCAACTCAAGGTAAGCTGCTCATATGTATTGGCCACAATAGCAATTGGCATAACAGATTAATAAAAAATGGCACAATGATTAGAAAAACACATTGCTAAAATGTATTATAATGTCTCAAAAATGTTACACAATGTCAGATGTTAAAAAAATAATAATGACATCGTAATAATGATAATGATAATGATATGTCAATGTCATAAAAAATATCACATTCTAATAAAAAAAATCAAGAATGTCAATCCTATAAAAAAATTACATTGCTTTTGTAGAAAAACACATTGTGGACAATGTATTAGAATATAAGGAAAAATGTAAGAATGTCAAGTAATGACAATGACAATGTCAACACCAACGTTTTTAAAAAATGACATTATAAAAATGACAATGACAATGTCAATGATTTAAAAATGGCATTGTAATAATGACAATGTCAATTTCAAGGCTATAAAAATGACATTGTGATGTTGTCAAGAAGTGACATTGTTTTCGATGATGACATTGAGATATGTGACAATGTTACATCTTTGTAAAAATTTACAATCTTAGAAACTGTCAAAATGTCATAAAATTATCGCAATGTCAAATAATGAAAATGGCAATGCATGTCAATGATACAAAAGTGACATTGTAGTAATGATAATAACAATGTCAATATTACCAAAAATGACATTGTATTAATGACAATGTCAATGTTGATGTAATTGACTGTCGTAACAATGTCAATATTATAAAAATGACCATTGTTGAAAACAATGACAATAGTATAAAGATGACATTGTTTTTATACAAAAACATGTTTCACACTGTCACTATTAATATAAAAATGACATTGTTCTTAATAGCATGACATGTTTTGTTTTCTTCACACTGTCATGATTAGCAACACAATATAATGTCAATACCATTATATTATTTGAATAAAATAATAGTGACAACCTTTATCGAACGATCACCTTGATGGTACAAATTAAAGTTAACACACCAACAATAATAGTTAAAATGAATTTAAAAAGCTCTATTAAAAAGAAATTAACATTAAAATTAAACTTCTACATGTCATAACTTCTATGAGTAATAGGGGAATTCCGTAAGTGGAATTTACCTTTCCATTTAAAACAACAGTAACAGGGTAATTTTGTAAATGGTTCAATAAGACTCATGATCTATGAAGTATATATAGATAAAACTGCAACTAGTAATTTTTTTGCAACAACTGCAACTAGTAATTGAGTAGATACATCTGAGGACAATAATAGTTAAAACTTTACAATTTTTGAAAATGAAATTAAGAAATACGGAGTAGAAAGAAACATTAAGAAGCAAATCGAAAAGGAATCACAACCAAAATAAAGAAGACAACAGAAAAGAAGAAAGAGAAGTCGCAGATGAGAAGTAGAAGAGAGAGAGAAAAAAGTGGCGACGGAAGGAAGAGGAGGAGAGAAGAAGGAGAGGAGGAGAGGAGAAAGAAGAGCAGATTTGCAACATCTTCGTCGGCACCGACGGTACTTCATCTTCCGTCCATCATCTCTTCATCGTCAGCTCGGTCTGTTGTCACCGTGCGACTGCGTCGCGTCATCTTATTGACTTCCGTGCGCCGCCTCTGTTGTTCCGCCAAGGAGCCGCTGCCTCCCAGATCTCCTATGGTATGAAAGAGAAGTATGGTTGCTTTTATCGACAGAGAAGAGAAAGGGAATAAGGTGTAATAGATTTAGGGGCAAATCTGAAAACACGGAAAAAATTAGTCTTGTTTAAGTATAAATATCATTTAAGTCATATTTAAGTACATCATGCATATTTTAGTCCTATTTAGCACCATTTTTCAAGAAAAAAAGGAAAAAGTATGTCACCCAAAAGAAAAGCAAAAACTTAATTTTGAGATATCAAAAAAGAAAAGTGAAAATTTAATTACGTGAAGGAGAGAAAACCAATCAATAATTGTTGCCTTTAAACCACCCTCCATGTAACTATCAACCATCCAAACTTTATGGAATGAAACATTTAATGGAGCAAGTGAACAACCATATGAATCACCAAACATACAATGTTTGTGTGCTTGTGCCCTTAATGAGAAGGTAGATCACTAGATGAAAATAAAGAATTTATTCAACAAATGCACTAGATCAAGTGAAACACCAATTCACTTCTCTGGTCAACATATTCTAAAGCCTTACACTTCCAAACTCAGTTTAGTGAGAGCTTATCACAATTGTGTTCTGGGCAATAATTAGTAAATACTTCCTATTCATATATTATCTCAATTTACATTATTCTTTCATTAATATAAATGTCTATATTTGTGTGTGAATTTTACTTGTATTACCGTTAGGGTAAAATATTTCATAGCATTACAAATAATGTTTATAAATGAGCTCAAATCACCTTTTCATTGTTTAGAGTTATGGGTGGACTCGGGCCGGGCTGGGTCCGGGTCAGGCCTAGGCCCGGGCAGGCCGCCGGTTCAGGATAGTTGGGCCCAGGACCAGCCCAGGTAGCCACCGGGTCCGGTCCGGGCCGGGCCAGGCCTCGGGCCACTTCCTATTTTTTTCTAATTAATCCCCTAATACCCCCCCCCCCCCCCTCACCGCCCCAAATGGCCCAAAACACTCAGCCCAACCCTGAAAAAAAAAATGAATAAAAAATAAAAGGCCCAGAACCAGGCCCGACCCAACCGGTTCATCATTTGGCGGACCCGAGCCCGCACCGTAAAACTACCGGGTCGGGCCTGCCCGGACCGGTCCCTGACCGGGCCACCGGGCCAGGCCGGACCGGAACAGTACCGGTCTCGGGCCGGTTCCGGGTCGGGCCACCCGGCCCGAGTCCACCTCTATATAGAGTATTCAAACGCATATCCAGAGTATAGCTGTTAAAACAGACCAAGTAAACTATCTTTTTCTTTGGAAACATCTAATTTACATGACTTTGCCATCACGCCATCACAGCATAGGGGCTTTTCTTTAAGAAAACAGTATTATTAATCACCAAAACTGATGAAACAATAACGGAATAAAACTTCCCCGTGAATTACAGGGAATGAAGGTGAAACAAAAAAATCACTGATCTGTTTCTTTACACTTCCAGTCTATTTAGTTCTTGTGATGACTCTGTGAGTGAGTTCTACTAGAGCCCGTCTTGACCTTTGAACGTCTACGTCATCACTCTCTGGAAGAGAGCCAATAGCATCTGAGGCACGGCTAGCGAGCTCTTTCGCTAGCTCTCTTGTTCGTTGTATACCACGACTCTTCCCAAGGTACTCCAGTGCCTATGATGAAGTTTCAGTTGCACACAATTTCCATATGTAAGTTGGGGTAAGTACAGAACATCAATGCATACAAAAGAATGATAATACGCAAGAGTGATTTTGCTACAAAAAACAACATCCAAGCCTTAGTCCCAAAAGATATTGGGGTCGGCTAACATGAATCGATACCTGATATCACCACCAAAAGGAAAAGAGAGAAAATAAAGATAAAAAAGATAAGCTATTATAAAAAGATAATATAAAAAAGAGATAAATATACATAAAAATGATAAAATAAAAAAGATACAAATAATGTTTATATATAAGGATAAAAAACAAGGGGGAAAAAAGATGAGGGGAAAAGATGATACGAGATCAATCCTCCACACGAAGAGCTGCCCTCCACTTTGCTCTCTCCAAAGCCATACTCTCATCCAACCCAAGAAGAAACATATCACTTCGGACTCCCCTAGCCCACATCTGTTTGGGCCTTCCTCTCTTCCCTGCCTTTTCACCACACATCTCAACTCGCCTGACAAGTGCATCACTCGGTCTTCTACGCACATGACCAAAACACCGTAGACGTGACTCCAGCATATTATCTTCAATAGGTGCTATTCCCACCCTAAAATATGCAACAACATCCAAGTCTTGTTCCTAAAAGATTTTGGGGTCGGCTAGCATGAAACGATCCATGATATCAGAGCCAAAAAGACAAGATAAGAAGAATAAAGAGATAAAGTAAGATAAAATGGATAAGATAAAGATAAATATAAGATAAAAATAACATAAGAACATAAGAAGATAAAAGATAAAAAGATAGAACAGCATAAGAAAGTTAAAAGATAAAAATAACATAAGAACATAGATAAAGAAGATAAAAGATAAATAAAAAGAGAGAGAAGAGAGAAAATATATCAATCGTCCGCACGAGTATGCGCTCTCCACTTTGCTCTCTCCAAAGCCATATTCTCATCCAACCCAAGAAGAAGCATATCCGTTCTGAGCCTAAAATATGCAAAGTATTTCACTCTTGTTTAAATGATATTGGGTCATTTCCCCTTTTAGTCCCTCACTTCCACTTTTCTGCTTTTAGTAGATGATGACTATGGGTTTTGGTACTTCTGGTCACTTACCCGTCCAAGATTTATACAATCCTAGTTTAATTTTTCATCAATAAGTGATTAGGAAGACCGAAAACGGTAAGAAATCTATTTATTGGAAAATAAAGAAAGTTTGGGACCAAAAGTCAATATATCCTTATAGTAAGCCCAACCAGAAGTAGAACATTTTCCATAGCGGAACAAAACAACATCTGCCAAAACTAGTTTAGTTTATGGTATTGTGACTGTATATGGAAGTAGTATATTGGTATAGACCTGAAGCATTATACAAGGTCTCATTTTAAACCCTAATTTCAAGGTGTACAAAATCGTGGGCCACGCAATGTAGAGGATTAACCTCTGGTATCTTCGGATCGATCTTGGAAAACAAATGAAAATTAAATAAGATGACAACAATTAAAGTGTTTCATATTTCTAAAATGATTTAGTGATTTCAATTATTTCTTTTTGTTTAATTTCCTTTTTATCTCTTTTCACCTGTCCTCTCCATTTAACTCATTTATTTTCCCTACAGCTTTCATTGTTACAAACGGATCGTAAGGGTCAAGACGTTCAAGATGCAAACATTAGAATGTACAATGCACTTCTGTAACCAAAACTTACCAGATCGATGTTCTCAGGATCTTCAAACCCACGGTCAACAACGGATCGCAGCTGGGGGTATTCTTCCATTGCAAACAATATTGGAGCAGTTATGATTCCCTGCAATGCAAAATTCTGTTCTAAACCACCACATATGAAGGGTACTACTGCTGGTGTAAGCAAAGTGAAATTGTGGAACTTTACACCAGTAGTGCTACGGATTAAAATAAATGATATGATTTCTTTTGCATTGTGGAACATGGCTAAATGGTTTGTAGTGAAAAATGTTGTGAAATAATGCTTCTGGGGACTATAGAGTATATACTATAATTATATCAATCCATCAACCACTTAAACTCCCATAAAAAGGTTACAACTATAAGGTACTTTTGGAGCACATAAAAATGTTAGGGAGAGAAAATATGGAGGAAAAATAGAGGGGAAATTTTGAAGGAAAGAAGTTTGTTCTCCCAAGTAAAAAAAACAGGAGTTCATTAAAACGAGTTCAAATTTAATAATTAAGTTTTAGATATTTAATGAAACTCATTTCATTCATCTTTTCTGTTACATTAAGACTATAAAATAAAAATAAATGCAAACTTGAAAGAAGATTTGATCAATTTTTTCTTTCTAATATATAGAACCAAACATAGTAAACAACTTTTATTGGCATTATTTTCTTTACCTACCATTCTCAGTGTTACAAACATAGCCTTAGTGTCCAGAACATCAAAGATAATTTTAATAGAGTGGAAACATTTACATGACGAATGTCTGACAATGCTCCCTTCCCGAGAGTAGATGATGTGCCAGTGAAATCTAAAACATCGTCTATTAATTGAAATGCCAATCCCTGCACAAAAAATATTAGCACTGATTTTATGATTCCATTTATTCTCCCGATTTGTGAAAAAACCTTTGTTGAGGCAATAGTATACAAACCAGATTTTTTCCATACTCAAATGCCAGCATAGAAACTTTTGCAGTTTGGCCAGCCAGAAGAGCAATAGCTTTACAACTATTTGAAATCAGTGATGCCGTCTTATAGTATGTCTTCTGCATATAATACTCCATGCTGGGAAAAAGTTAAACCCACTGTTTAGAGATCCTGTTTACAAATTGAAATTTTCCCTCCGGCCCATTTCTGTTTGTCCCATTTCTCCATTTTGCCCCTTCCAAAAACAATTGTCTCATACCACATGTGGTCATTATTTGTGTGGCTCAAAATCATTCCCACTTTACAAATTCATTATACTAACCACACCATTCCACTATTCTTAATTCGCATTCCACATCCCGTTGTGCCAAACATAGTGGGGCCAAGGAAGTATTTGTTTTCCCCCAATCAGGAGAATATATCAGCAATAAGGCAGGCATACCTACACCGTTGATCAGCACTAGTTGTTATTTGCATTGTTTCCCCAGTAACAAGGTGTTCGACAACTTTTGCAAGCAATGTCACAACCTACAAAACAAATGCAGGCTTACTAATAAATAAATTTCTCAGGAATAAGGAGAATGAAATAAATATTTTAAAAAAATTGTGTAGGGGGTGGGGGGTTGGTTGCCCCATGAAGTGCAGAATAAACTGATCTCCAGGTATGGCTATTAGTCCAACAGGAAGAAATCAATGTATTATGCAGTTATGCACCATTTTATACCCTCACAGCTATTAGATCATTTGCTTCTCATGGAACTCAAATGCATGTACATACATAATAGCATACATATAATGTGTGTGTATACACTTTATAATGGATCATTTAAACAAGACATGAAAAATTACACTTATCCCCTATATCAATATTTTTAAATTTAGACCCTCTAGTTCATTGTTTAGATACCATTAGTCTATCTTTTAAAATATTACAGATAAATATTAGAGCTTAAAGGGGGCACTCTCGCATCTTATATTTCTATGAATGCCCCCCATGAACCTTACCACTGAGCAATTATAGTAACCAATTGAACTAATTTATATTTGTATCTCAATTTTAACAATTGAAACTAAATTTATGATATCTGAATGACAAGTCCTATAGTATATAAAGTCAAACAATTGAGGGACTAAAAGTGTAATTTTCTCAACAGGAAAAAGAGGCAATGAGTCCCTGGTCTGAGAAGTTCAGTTGGCATTATCTTTTAAATAAAAATGCATATGAACCCATGAAAGAAAAACAGGGATGTGACAGACCTCTGTGTTCTTCAAAGAGGCAAGTGCCACACATGCTCTGGAAAGCAGAAAATCTCCAGCCAATACAGATAACTGCATCATTAGAGAGACAAAGGAATGTTACGAAGATGGTTTTCTTTACTCAATTAGCGATTACCTCGGAAAAAGAATTCAGTAATCAAATGGCTATTATGTGTACACTAGAGAAATTATATGTTTAAGAGGATCTTGCCTCTTTTGACCATTTACCAAGAATGAAAAAAGTAACTCCCTTTTCACATTCCAAAGAGTTAAGAGACTAGATATGCTATACATTCAGATAACTCTGTAATAATGTAAGCCCACTATTGGAACCAAAGCATGCTAAATTGAATAATATCATAACAGGCCAATAACCTTAGGTGTGTACAAAGCTAGCTTTATATCCATCTAAAAATTACTCCCTACTTCCCATAAAATTCTTCCACTTACCTTTTTGGAATGTCCCAAAACATTCTTCCCATTTCCTTTTTTGGAAAGTTTTGTGTGGCTACCATTCATTTACCTTTTTCTTACTCAACCACAACCATACATTTCCACTTTATTCCCACTTTCTAAAACTCCGATCCAAGTCAAACCGGGAAGAATTTTATGGGATGGAGGAAGTAAAATGTATGCTTGTTACATGTGTTCTCCTAAAGACAACAGCAGTAAGAGAGGTTAGAGAGCCTACGATTATGTATTAAAGTATGTGGAAACATGACTCTCATTGAACCACTTAACTTACTACATTTTTCTTTAATGATCAAAACAAGACGTTTAATATACAAATAAAAGGAACGACAGATTGTGTTGCGTGTGTGAGAAAACTAACTCGATAGTTCTAATACGTAGGTGATACTAACAGCTTACAGCTGTGAAATCTAGAAGCAAAAAGTAACATCAGTTTATTGATTTCTAATTAAAGAGAACACATTTAGGCACAAAATCATAGTTTACCTTATTTCCCATTACAAGATTCAGTGAGCTTATCCCTCGCCTTGTTTCAGCATCATCCAACACATCATCATGAAGTAAACTAGCAACCTTTGTGATAACATGTAATAAGCATCCAAACAAGATGAATATGCCTATATTTAGGGGAAATAGAAAGAGAAAACAGGAACAAATACCAACTTAACCCTCCTATTATTTGTCATATTGAAGAAAAGTTCAAGTCAAATAGAAGAACAATTTTTTCGGGAAAGAGCATATCTATTGCAAAAATATGCAAGGAATGTTTGAAGAGAACGCAGAGAGTGGAATAGTAGGATTAGTAACAAACTAACAGCTCAAAAGGTTTCCAAAACAAATGACAGGTTGAGAGACATGAGAGTTCATACAATATTAACCATGGGAATAGAAACATTAATACAAACATTGCATTGAGCGATTTCACTTACGAAAAGGAGATTGCAACCTGAGAAAGTATGAACAAGAGAAATAATGCACTCTTAATCTCGGCCCTCGGGATTACTCAACTACATCTCATGAATTATTTGGCTAACCAGATCTTATACGAGCAAGGGCGTATCCAGGGGGCAGCTGCCCCCATTCCCAATACATATATAGATACAACTATACATCTATATATACACATATGAAAGTCATCATCATCATCACCCCAGTGCCACAAAGACTCTCACACCTTCGGGGGGGGGGGGGGGGGGGGTCGGATGTACGCAGTCTTACCCCTGTACTAAAGCACAGAGAGACTGTTTCCGGATGACCCATATGAAAGTGTGTTAGAAATTTTATATTACGAAAAAGTAGCGCAATGATTAATGCATGTACACTTGACATAGTGGTAATATTCCATATTTCTATCCATATGTCCACAGTTCAAAACTTCTCCCACCCATATATGGTTTTGTTTAATTTTAAGCCCTTTCTAAAATAAATTGATAAAAAATGATCTAGAATATTTCTGTGTTGTATTTCCATATTTCAAAGGTTAAACCGTTAAACCATTTCAAATGACAAGAAAATTCAATTCAATAAGTAATTGGTAAGATACATACAATTATACTTTTGCACAAACATAATATATATTGAGATCTTTTAATACATACTTGTGTGTTTGCAACTTAAATTAGCTCCACTCATATGTTTCATATATCTCTTATTTTAACTCATCTTTTGATCCACGTAGTTTTTATTAAGTACAAAGTATGTGTTTGATATTTGTTTACAAGAAAATGAAACTACATCATTCATTAACTACAAAATGTTTTTGGTATGAAAAATGAATCCTTATACTATTACTATTATTGTTAGTTAGTACTACCTCCGTTCTTAATCAATAGTCTCCTTAGATTTTTTGTGGTTTTTAGGAAGAAAAAAGTAGGGGTAGTATAGAGGGTGTAGGGTATGAAAAAGTAGGAGAGAGAATATATTAAGAAGAGTACAGTAATGATAAAGTAGGAAAGAGAAAGTAGTATGTAAAAAGTAAAAAGGGGTAAGGTAATAAAAGTGGGGGATGAGGGTATTTTGATTGAAAAAATTTATTAAAAAGAGAATGAGGGACAAATAATAAAAAATATCCCAAAAAGGAATACAAGACAATTAATAGAGAACGGAGGGAGTAGTAGTTTCCTATTAATATTACTTTTTAAGTATTCAGTTTTAGTCAACTACTTACTAGCCTAGCTTTATTTTTCCTAGTACGATTATGGCTCTTGAAATAGCTATATAAGGGTATTCGGTATTGAATATTGATTAATATACGACCTTTGAAGAATAGATTCTTGGGTGCCTTGACAAGGTTGGACATTTTTTTATTCTATCTTAGCCTTATTTGTTGGCCTTCATTCCCGTTCTCTTTAGATCCCTAACTTGCCCCTAGCAATTTTCCTAAAAAGGAACAACAACAACTACGACAACAACAACAACAACATCCAAGCCTTAGTCCCAAAAGATTTTAGGGTCGGCTTTCCTAAAAAGAAAATGTGAATATAATTTAAGGGACAAAACAAAAAGATAGGTATGACATTATAGTGTTCACATCAAATGAATACATCACTCTCTTCAGTTGGTTTTAGAGTATAGTATTCTCAATGCAGTTCAATGTTCATAACATGATCTTTGATAATACTATGGTGCGAGTTCGATGGCCTGACCAAATTTTCTGGATATGCCATTGTATACCGGTTTGGTATCTTCACTTTGAGTTGTTCCACTAACCTAATCTCCTACTAACATGTCCCCGATATCCGGTGGAACCGGAACAGTGTACCATGCAGTAAAAATTTCCATAAGATGCTCTGAGCAAAAGCACAATCAATAAAAAGAAAACTAACATGGATCATCTCAATGATCTCCGCCATACACTGTTGTCTTTTGCGGACTTCCATGGGTGAAAAAGAATCAAAGGTTGCCTCAGATGGTGATCTTGTAACTGGTGGTCCATTTAATGCTGTTGCCATCAACAACACAACCTACAAAGTGCATTAGTCCCATAAAATGATTTTGTTCAAGGCAAAGCATGAGGGGATGAAACTTCTAAGTATAACTAGTTATGGCCTTCTAATAGTCTCGTAAATGCAAGATGGACCAAAATGATCTGTTGAGCAGTCATATACTTTCAGGATAATGCTTTTAACTGGAGGAGCATCTTCAAAAAAATTGTGCGGCTCCGTGTGGAATACCTGCAAGGTCTTGATGGAATACGCTCCAACAGTCCTGCTCAGGTCATAACCTAGCATTCTAATAGTTAAAATGGTTCATCGATTTGATCTACCTAAGGTTATTTTCATGTGTAACCATTTCCTACTTTATTCCACTTTTAAGTATATGCTGAAATTCCTATTGAAATATGGATAAGATGTGGCAATGCTGCAGCTGCCATCTGGCACTAATAATAGTCTATTTAGAACTTGTTTGGCACAGACTACTGTTTTTTGCGAAAAATCTCATATTGAACTTGTTTGGCTCACACTATTGCTTCTTGTGAATATTCTTATTGATCACTCTTTTTGAGAAGCTTTCCCTTTATCTACCTCTGAAAGTCCATATTATTAGGTTTTGGCCCAGCTTCTGCTATTTTTGTAGTAGATAAAACTGAATAACAAGATATGATCAAACAAACAAAATCACTGCAAAATGTAAGTGTTTAAGTGTCTTATCAGATCTCAAAAAATAAATACAGCATCCATAAAATTAATGGAAATTAACCTAATAGTTTTAAGCCAACCATTATTTTGAAAATTACGATAAGGTTACGGTGTCGGTGGACATCCAGTATATATACCCTCCTACATCACCAGAACACTTAGGGTGTGCAAAGCTTGAATTATAATCTAGCAAACATCAACCAATACCGTAGGTCGGAGCCTCTTTCCTTCCACCCCCATTCGGAAGAAATACTCAGCAGCTGAAGCAAGCTTGGGTACCTGGATAAAATTAAATTAGACAACCATCTTCGAACAAAATCTAACTGTACATGTTGCGGGGACAAATATTCAAACCTCTGCAACAACCATTGACCTCAACTTGTCTGCCACGAGTGAAAGTTCATCAGCCACTAGTGAGAATGGATCTACTTGCTCCTGGGATAGAGATAAAATTAAAACAAAGCGTGGGAATTAATTACCTCAGTGAGTCAGTGACACGATTGCAATGAAACTATCTTAAATAGGGACATAGAAATAAGAAATTGATAGGGTAGAGAGGTAAAGAGATAAGCAATTAAAAAATTGATATAGTAATGTAAAATGATGCAATCATGATCTATCGGAAATGATGCAGCCAGTGTTAAACAAAATACAAGTCTATAGATCCTTTTTCAGACCATGCTTTTTCCAATTCATATTACAAGATGTGCCAGAAGAGAATCTACATACCACACTTCAGAAGAGAATATTCCCACTAATTAAGTTCTACTTTCTATGACTATTTTGGAGGAAAATGTACTATCAACAGCATTGGAGATACTCAGCACGTATTTTTCGTAATTGAAAAATAAAATGTCCTATAACCTCAGCTAAAACACTGTTTTGTTGATGCATGTTCTGCCCGATACTTCTCACAGCAGTTGAAACCCATTCATAAATTCCTCTCCGGCCAGATACCTACACAACAACAAAAAGGGGAAAAAATATAGCAAAGACAAGTAAGCACTGCAGTATAACATGCAAATTCAAAAAATATATTAGGAAAGCAGATTTGTAATGAATAAATCAAATAATCTAATATATGCCTTAAAGACATGTATCAATGCATCATACTCTTTTAATATTTCAAAATAGTGCATTGTGGAAGGGAGACTTCCTTGGGCCAGATAGGATGTGCTTGAGAGTGAAAAAAATCAAGACAGTTTGTATGACCAGAAATAAGGAAATTGCAAGATCAAGATCAATAGCCCCTCAAAATTAACAAATTTCAAATAGGAAGAGTTCCGAAGTCCTGGGGGTCCAGGGTTTGAATCCACTTATTATAAGGAAGAGAAGGTGGCTTAGAATATGCCCTTTCCCTGACCCCACTGTGAGGGAGCTTTCGCGCTGGGTATGCACTTTTCATTGCAAAGAAAAAGCTGGGAAATGTCAATCTTATAGTGAGGATAATGACAAGGCCATGGAGAGGATTACAGACAGATGGAGAGAGTTCCTAAAGGTCATTGTTGAGGTGAGCACCAACTTTGAATGGAAATGTGCTCCCATCCCATAGTTAATAGAAGAAACAAACTTTAAATCAGAAGAAGGTTTGACATCTCATGCAATTATAACTTTTGTAAAACATATGCACATCAACTAAAATTGAGGCAAGGAGCAAACAGTTGGCCTAAACCATTGAAATCGTGTTCTTTCTTTCTCAACATATTCTAAGCATAGACCAGTCTCCAAAACACAAAGATTTCTTCAACCTGACTGGCCAGCGCTGTTAAAAATTAGGGCAAAATACTCTCTCACTGTGACCTAAGAATAGCTATTGTACCACTTCTGAGCATCTCTAGTTAACAACAGACCCACATATCATTAGATTTATTTACCAAAAGTTCAAAAGTCAAAACAAATAATTGGCATAGAAACAGTTCAACAAAACTCCCAGGACTGCCAGAATACTATTATTATTACAGCAACAGTCCACGGTAGAAAACAAAGTGGCGACCCTAGATGCAGACCAGAAGGGCAGCTAAGATTACTTCTTTTGAAATTAAAGCACGCTTGGCCTCTTAGATGAATAGCTAGAGCAGTTGCAATACAGTAAAAACTTGAAAGTTCAAAAAAGTGAAAAGACGAGCTCCTCCGACCTTTCGGGAAACATCTACTGGGGAGAAGTAGTCTGTGCGGGAAATCAAGTTATGTCGGTGATTGAGCTGGTCCATGGGAAAGCATAATATCCTTCTAAATCTACTGAACCCGCCGCCTCGAGACAGTTCTCTGGAGAGTAACATCGCCTATTCGCCTTCTTCTTCTTCTTCTTCTTGGTCTAAAGTGCTTGGCTGGTGATGTATACTATGCCTGAGATGGAGATGGAGCGATTAAGCGGCGGTTGCGTCAGATTGACCCAGGTTAAGGAGTGACGTAGAGACGGAGAAGACTTTGAGTGTTGATGATAGGATCAAACCGACATGCATGAATGAAATTGATTTAGAAAATGCAGTTCTGCCACGGCGGAGGGAGGAGCCGAGGAGGACCCTTTCACAAGAAAAAATCTAGCCGCGTGGATGGGCGGCGGCTTTCAGTAGATGTAACACGCATCTCGGTCGCCTTTGAAGGGAAAACGGGTGGGTAATAACGAATTAACGATTCTAAACTTAGGCTTCATGTATTTGTTCTCCTTATTGCAAGTAAAAAAGCACAACATGTTCTTATTATTAGATTGATTTATTTTAGTCTCGCATCATATTAGATCGGCCTACACCACATCAGTCTAGATCAAATTGTGGAAATATCCTGTGAAGACCATTTTTCTCAAATGCATTTCATTTATGTCTCTTGATAATTTACTTTTCATATTTAACTTTAATCTTTTCACTTTTAGTTTTTTATTTCAATCGTAAGCCTAAATCATAACTGCTCCGTACTGACCTTTTTATTTCATCTTCGACTTCTGCCCACCTCCCCCATATATCATGGAGAGCCGCTGGGACGCTTGGAGAGCGGCAACTAGTTCCAACTCTCTTCTCAGGAGAGGGATTTCATGGCTAGGATTGGTTATCGTCAATGGAGCTGTTTAGTCCGCAGATGGAGGATTATCAATCCCCTGCAACTCGTCTCCCGTATCTTCTTCGCAAACGGATAACAAGAGCATCTCCACGGAAAAATCTCAACTAGAAAGCTCTTCTTCTAAAAAATAAGTAAGTAAATCTATCAGGTCTCACTAAGTTCATTAGATCAAGTTACCTTTCTCTGCTTAAATTTCTATTCGACTATAGCAGATCCCTTTGTATTCATACTTTTGCTCAACAATCCCTGGTTTGTTCAGTTTCTCGTTGAAGGAGAATAACCAATTGAGAGAATATATTTTATGCACCTACAATATTGCTTTGTATAATCGATCTTTTTTGTTGTTTTTAGCTATTCAGAACGTGTTTGAATTTGTAGGGTTTCTAGCATCCATACTTAATTTGTTCAAAGTATTGTTCAAAATTTGAAGGAGAATAACCAATTGAGAGGTTAGAGCACAATTAAGCTAAAACATTCCACAAACGAGGTTACTATGATTATAGAAATGATTCACAAGATTAATGTGAGAATAAGTAATGTTTGGTAATGAGCTCACATGTAAGTGTTTTGTAGTGGTAAGACCGTGACATTTGGGAATGGTGCTTACTGTTCTGGGCATAATACGTTTTGAAGAACGTGTATTATGCTTCGTCGATTTGGAATCCGCTCCTTTTTCTGCGTCACGTTTGTTTCATGTTTATTTGTAAATCTCAAGTTCTTTGTTGATAGCATGATTGTCTGCAATATTTTGTGCTAATTTTGAATTACTTGTATTATACATGTCAGCCGTGTATCAGTTATATGTGCAGCTGTCTATATGGTGATATTTTTATCATGTCCCCAAAGTTTTCATCCTGCACTATTTTCATTGTTTACAGAATTGTTGTTTGAGCTCGGACAAATTTGAACGTTCCTCACTATTAGAATAAATGTTATTTGATGCGGTTATTTTTACCTATTTGTTGCGGTTCTGAATCGCAGCAATTGGCAGGGCAGCAAATAGTAGGAAGACTTATTTGTTGCGGTTAAGAACCGCAGCAAATAGCTATTTAAAAGATTGAATTTTAACTTATTGATGTGGTTCAGAACCGCAGCAAATACTCTTTTCGAACCACATCAAATACTCTTCTAAATATTGGTATATTGTTTTTGTTTTGTAATAATACTCATATTTTTTAATGATAATTATAATACTCACAATGTTTACAAAATAAAAAAGCAATCGTTTCTACAATCTCAATTTTTATTCGAACAACTCAAAATCATCATTCCAAAAAAACTTAAATTATACAATAAATACGGTGTAAATTTATTCACTAAAAGTTTACAATAAATATCATACATATTTGTCCAACATTTCATGAATTTCATATAATTCATCTCTTTTATCCTCTTCAAAATCAAGAGGGTTGTAGCATAATTCATCGGCATCCTCCATTGCTTCTCGACAGAAGGTATACACACATAAAAATTATACGTGGTATCTATCAACAATAGCTAGCCCTTGTAACCACTTGTTATTTCTATGGTACCCTTATCACTCTCAACTTCACAAAGCGGCTGAAATTCTTCAACTTGGTCTCCCTATAATCATATAAAAGAAATTCAATAAGAATCTTAAATTTTCAACTATCATGTAGCATGATAATCCTACTTTTTTGGACTAACCTTTCTCGATCTGTCATTCTATAGTTTGCCACTTTCCAAATCATCATGATTTTTACTGCGAGTCTCATCAAACAGCCTACAAAAAATGAACATCTAAACTGATAATAATACATTGGTATTTAAAACGGATCAAAATGAAAGAAAAAAAACAGAACTTCCAAATTAGAATATGATAATAAGATGATGAAGTACGTTCAAGGCGAGCAATGCCCACTAAGAAGTAGGTTCCAGTTGTACCTGAATGCAACTAAAAAAATATCAAAGAAATCTACCAATATTTGAGCAATTCATGAGATTGAAAAAAAATGATTTCATTGTCGGTGCATAGATTATTAGGAAGTGTTAAATGAAAGTAATTAGTAACCGAAGGTTGTAGCATATAGCTTGATCCATTTGCAACCCACTTTTCCAGGATTAGAAACCTCAAGGTCACACAAAAAGCGTGCTTTAGACACTCACTCATGATGACATGTTGGAACCACTTACAAGTTGCTGCAAGTAAGCAATATCAACGACTTCCCATCCAAATACTTGCAACCTCTATCCACGTGTCCTCTTCATACATTCGGATTGAATGATAGCGGATCAATGAGAATTCAGAAACATATACATTCTCCAGAAAGACCAACAGTTTCTGCAGCTTAATGAAATGTTAGTATTGGTAGCTTTTTTTAAGAGTATGTCAGTATTGGTAGCTGAATCTCAAGCAAATTGTTTATAGCATACCGTAGATCTCTAGCAACTATTACACTTTCAAAATTAATACGCTGAGGAATCTAAGAAACACAGATAATGGTAGAACCGCAAATTTCTAATGCATTACAAGAAACGTGAACTATGCTTCACAATTGTACAAGAACATCAGTGATATCACATTTCTTATCAGCAATTAAACAAATCATGAACAGATCTTGAAACAAAACAGGAGTTCAAACTCTAAAGATCCTAACACAAAGGCTAAATATCCTTTTTAAGGCCTTATCACAACGAGGTTTAAGAGTCTGGGCTTCATGATCAAATAGAGTTGTTGGGTGAAGTACGGCCTTTTGTGCATAATAATAGAATACTTCAGGTACCTGAACCAAATTGGCAGCAGAACATTTTATACAGATCAATGCAATTTGATCTGAATTGAGTAAACATCAAACTAATTACATATTTGATTTCAATTCAAACTAAGCATATATCTGAAAGTATTTAGCTTAGTCAAAATCTGTAAAACATAAAATACACATTCAACAACTACAAAAAAAGACTAATAACTCACTTTCAGCAAAGAAGATGGGATGCTACGGCCGCAAAAGCGAACAAATGCACTGCGATAGTCTTCATCGATGAGGCATAGAGAGACAGAAGAAATCTTAGTTCCGCAGAGAAACACCGGTGCGGCAGCAGACGGTTGGTGAAAATGGGTCGCGAGGATCTGCGGCGGGGGCGTTGAGGAGGATCTGCGGCTGCGGCTGCGGCGACGTTGACGACGATCTGCGGCTGCGGCGTCGTTGACGAGGATTTGCGGCTGCGGCGTGGTTGATACTCTAGGATAAGGAACACCTAGAAGCAACCTATGGAAATATTCCATTCAATTCACAAATCTCAAAGCAATCCAAATCATAACAAAACACAACAACAACAAATCGTCCCACAATCTCACACGCGTCTAATCATTAAAATTCCTTCCTAATAAGATTCTTTAATCCTAATTAATGAAAATAGTATTTTATGTCAAAAAGTTTTTGAAAATATTTAAAAGATTTTGAAAAACAAAGTCTCTGATACCATTTTGTAACACCCCCAAATTTATACCCAAAATTGGTGCTAACTACAGCAGGTGTAGAAAGAATTTCCTAAAACATTTAAGTTCAAAACGGTTTCAATTGCAGCGGAAGCAAAAGATTCAATGGGTGTTACCGCCACACTCGGTTCTCACATAACCGAATGCACAGGCTAAACCACCATCCAAAAATAATCCAAGTATTTATGTACTGAAAATTTCAAAAGAATAATTTAAATGTCTACATGTTCTCAAACTGAAATAAACAATAACTCGGTGATTATAAATACTAAACTACGTAATCTAATGCAGCCCTCGTCACCATGCATAACCTTCATCACCTGCACAATTAAAGTGCAGAAAACAAAACAATGAAAAAGAAATAAAAATTAGCTTTTTAGCTAAGTAAGGCCCACCCAACCCCGTAAAATAATCACGTTTGGCGAAAATAGTTTTTGAAATAATACTATATAAAAAACTCACACCACCAAAATTCTTTTCTAATCAAAAACATCATTTATCAACTTTAAAATCTCATACCCGTTTAGTTAAAAATAATCCTTATAAGCTCCAAACAATTAACATCTCAAGTAAAAGTATCACTTTTCAAAGATAACTTCTGTAACTAAAAATATCACCATTCCAAAATCAATGTCACTCTTAGATTCTTTTAAGATGGGCGAAACTCAAGATTCCTCGAGCCCGATGAATCGTTGTTGTGTACGACTCATCCCGGAATTCCGGCTCCCACCGACCACCAATTGGAAACTGAACTTCACCCTTAAGTGTGCACACCCCCTAAAAGGGATTCCAAGCCCTCCGAGTAGTAAGAAGTCCAAGTAGTTCGGACAACGTCCCCATACCTCATAATGGGTTAGAAACCCGGATAATTAGAAACTACTACCGCGGCCACCAAAGAACTTTTAAAGTTCTCAAAAGAAATACCAGGAATCTCCCGCCACCAATATTTACCGGGATTTCTCCCGCCACCAATAATCAACCTAAACTAAACCCGTGGTATATAGCTCTAACCACCCTCCACATTTATCCGGATGTGGAAAAACCGACACCACGGATTTCTCCCGGGTGCTCACCTCTTATAAAATCCTTAATTTTATCTTGAATTAATATATACTTCAAAATACTTTCTCATAATATTTATTTCAGATTCAAGTCTCAAAATCATATGCCAAAAATCTCCAATTCAAAGTCAAAGTTCACAAATTAGGGTTTATCCAAAACTAGTCCCAAAATAGTATTTAATACCATATTCAAGATAATCCAATAAGGATATTTATAACTCCAGAATATACATGTAAATTTTCATACCAAATTATACATTTAAAAATTTATAGTTTGTCCCAAAAGATTTGATCTCACAACACTTTCCAAAAAGAAGGTTTAACCCAAACAACCACTTCCCAAAAGTAGCATTTACTACCACCACCAAAATAATCCAATTGGTGTATTATAAACCCATAATATATTTTCAATATAACTAATTATAATAGTCTAAAAACATAATTCAACTCATAGTAAAACAATCACCAAAAAATTTCAATCCCAAAAGAACAATCCTCAAAAATCACAATTTTCACCATAACAAATTGATTTGATAAATTCATAAAAAATCACACGTTCATAAATTCCCAGAAAATCATACATCATCATATCTATACTATAATAACCCAAATATTCATAAAATTTCAGAAAAGAAACTCAAATCATAGCACAAACCCTAATTAATACATAATAGGGGTAAAATAGTAGTTTTGGTTGCAATAGTCCTTACCTCAAGGCTAGCAACGAATCCTAAACGTGAAACCTAGCTTGATGAGTCATTCACACGTACCTAGGAAGTGATAGGTTCGAAGGATCACAATTTAAGAGAAAGAAATTAAGAAAACGAATACACGATACGAATTAGGCAACAAACGTACTTACCGGAAGATTGGATTGTTTGATCACGTTCTTGGACTAAAACATTGTGTTGTTTATGTTAATATTTAAGATCTGGAATATATGGAGCTTGAAGAGGTGGTCCTAGGGTTTTTGGAATGAGGAAAATCGGATTAGGGATGTATTTATAGTGAATTTTCGAAGTTTGAGTCGCATTAGGATAAAACAGGGACGCACGCATGCGTACTTTCCACGCACGCTGTGCGTGGCTGGCAGTAGCTATTCCGTTTGATTTTCTTGCCACGCACGCCATGCGTGACCCCACGCACGCCGCACGTGACCCCCAGGTGCCCCGAACCTTAGTTTTTGCCCTGTTTCTTCCCCGTTTGAACCTCCCCTTGGTCCTAAACAATAAACCAACCATAGTAAACTACCTAAAGACCGCCTAAACGATATGAAACACAATTTTAATTATTTCCCAAATTCTCTCAAATTTTCGGGGTATTACAATCTCCCCCCCCCCCCCCCCCCCTAAAAGACGCTCCGTCCCCGAAGCTCAAGTCAAAACACAGTCGTGATGAAACGTCGAAGAAATACCTTATCAAAAGGGCTCTAGATATAGAATACTAAGAGTTTACGTACCTCAACCAATCACGTTCCTATGGGTTGCCATAGTTCTTACAAAAGAGAGACGCAAAGTTCAGAATACTAGGAACTCTTACAGATGCCCACCAAGTTCTACCTAAGATCACAAAATATAGGATACTAGAAATATACTCATAACTATTCTCAAGTTCACTAACTCACAAGATACTCTATGATAAGGAACACCTACGAGCAACCATTGGAAATATTCCATTCAATTCACAAATCTCAAAGCAATCCAAATCATCACAAAATACAACAACAAAAAATCGTCCCACAATCTCACACGCGCCTAATCCTTAAAATTCCTTCATAATAAGATTCTTTAATGCTAATTAATGAAAATAGTGTTTTATGCCAAAAAGTTTTTGAAAATCTTTAAAAGATTTTGAAAAACAAAGTCTGTGATACCATTTTGTAACACCCCCAAATTTATACCCAAAATTGGTGCTAACTACAACAGGTGTAGAAAGAATTTCCTAAAACATTTAAGTTCAAAACGGTTTCAATTGCAGCGGAAGCAAAAGATTCAATGGATGTTACCGCCACACTCGGTTCTCACATAACCGAATGCACATGCTAAACCACCATCCAAAAATAATCCAAGTATTTATGTACTGAAAATTTCAAAAGAATAATTTAAATGTCTACATGTTCTCAAACTGAAATAAACAATAACTCGGTGATTATAAATACTAAACTACGTAATCTAACGCAGCCCTCATCATCATGCATAACCTTCATCACCTGCACAATTAAAGTGCAGAAAACAAAACAATGAAAAAGAAACAAAAATTAGCTTTTTAGCTAAGTAAGACCCACCCAACCCCGTAAAATAATCACGTTTGGAGAAAATAGTTTTTGATATAATACTATATAAAAAACTCACACCACCAAAATTCTTTTCTAATCAAAAACATCATTTATCAACTTTAAAATCTCAAATACCCGTTTAGTTAAAAATAATCCTTATAAGCTCCAAACAATTAACATCTCAAATAAAAGTATCACTTTTCAAAGATAACTTCTGTAACTAAAAATATCATCATTCCAAAATCAATGTCACTCTTAGATTCTTTTAAGATGGGCGAAACTCAAGATTTCTCGAGCCCGATGAATCGTTGTTGTGTACGACTCATCCCGGAATTCCGGCTCCCACCGACCACCAATTGGAAACTGAACTTCACCCTTAAGTGTGCACACTCCCTAAAAGGGATTCCAAGCCCTCCGAGTAGTAAGAAGTCCAAGTAGTTCGGACAACGTCCCCATACATCATAATGGGTTAGAAACCCGAATAATTAGAAACTACTGCCGCGGCCACCAAAGAACTTTTAAAGTTCTCAAAAGAAATACCGGGAATCTCCCGCCACCAATATTTACCGGGATTTCTCCCGCCACCAATAATCAACCTAAACTAAACTCGCGGTATATAGCTCTAACCACCCTCCACATTTATCCGGATGTGGAAAAACCGACATCACGGATTTCTCCCGGGTGCTCACCTCTTATAAAATCCTTAATTTTATCTTGAATTAAGATATACTTCAAAATATTTTCTCATAATATTTCTTTCAGATTCAAGTCTCAAAATCAGATGCCAAAAATCTCCAATTCAATGTCAAAGTTCACAAATTAGGGTTTATCCAAAACTAGTTCCAAAATAGTATTTAATACCATATTCAAGATAATCCAATAAGGATATTTATAACTCCAGAATATACATGTAAATTTTCATACCAAATTATACATTTAAAAATTTATAGTTTGTCCCAAAAGATTTGATCTCACAACACTTTCCAAAAAGAGAGTTTAACCCTAACAACCACTTCCCAAAAGTAGCATTTACTACCACCACCAAAATAATCCAATTGGTGTATTCTGAACCCATAATATATTTTCAATATAACTAATTATAATAGTCTAAAAACATAATTCAACTCATAGTAAAACAATCACTAAAAATTTTCAATCCCAAAAGAACAATTCTCAAAAATAACAATTTTCACCATAATAAATTGATTTGATAAATTCATCAAAAATCACACGTTCATAAATTCACATAAAATCATACATTATCATATCTATACTATAATAACCCAAATATTCATAAAATTTCAGAAAAGAAACTCAAATCATAGCACAAACCCTAATTAATACATAATAGGGGTAAAATAGTAGTTTTGGTTGCAATAGTCCTTACCTCAAGGCTAGCAACGAATCCTAAACGTGAAACTTAGCTTGATGAGTCATTCACACGTACCTAGGAAGTGATAGGTTCGAAGGATCACAATTTAAGAGAAAGAAATCAAGAAAACGAATACACGATGCGAATTAGGCAACAAACGTACTTACCGGAAGACTAAAAAATCATGTTGTTTATTTTAATATTTAAGATCTGGAATAGATAGAGATTGAAGAGGTGGTCCTGGAGTTTTTGGAATGAGGAAAATCGGATTAGGGATGTATTTATAGTGAAATTTCGAAGTTTGAGTCGCATTAGGATAAAACAGGGACGCACGTGTGCGTACCTTCCACGCACGCCGTGCGTGACTGGCAGTAGCTATTCCGCTTGATTTTCTTGCCACGCACGCCGTGCGTTACCCCCAGGTGCCCCAAACCTTAGTTTTTGCCCTGTTTCTTCCCCGTCTAAATGATATGAAACACAATTTTAATTATTTTCCAAATTCTCTCAAATTTTCGGGGTATTACAACTATGCTAGAGTTGGCATGTAAGGGCAATCGAGTCTGGGAAGGATCACTAGCCCAGGTGGATACATTACCCCTGGCCAGAAACCAATGATGCTTTATGGAATGCCTTCACTAAATGGCTTGGGAGTACCACCTGCTGGATATTATTACCCCACCCCCTACTGATTTTATGAGCTTCTATATAGTAACATTAGTTTTTTTAAACACTTGTTCTGTTTTTGAATAATATTATCTCGTTAGTTTTTTTTTAAATAAAAAAATAGGTGAAAAAGGAAGGGATGCCATTATTATTGGTGGACTTCATGAGTTTTTCTTATACTTTAGTATAAATTTAATTATACCTTTGACAATAAATGCTGACAAATAACTTGCAGTATATTTATTTATCGAACACTTGTGAATTGTAATTATATTGATTATGTTAATTGTGGTGTGCAGGATTTTGTTTCATCATGTTATATTTTGTTGCATTAAGTTGTTTTTTATTACATCATATTGCTTTATTATTTTGTTTCTTTTTGTTGCGTTGTGTTGTTTTTTGTTGCATCGTGTTGCTTTTTGTTGCATGTTGTGGTTATGTTGTTTATAATTTAAAAATTGCTACTTGTCATTTATTTAAATTTTTACTTCTATTTGCTACTTATTTAGAATAACAAAGTCATATATAAATTTATGTACAATTACCTGTAATGAGAAATTTCGATGTATGAATATAAAAAATGTGTTGTTCGTTGTTGCATCGTGTTGCTTTTTGTTGCATCAAGTTGTTTATAGTTTTAAATTTGGATTTATGAATATAAAAACAACTAAAAACATAAAGAAACAATAGAACACATTTTTTTTAAAACTATCAACAAAAAGAAACACAAAGAAACAATAGGAAACAAAAATTAACAATAATATGATAATAATAAAAAAATAAAAATATCTATTCTTAAAGATTTTTTACATAAAAAATTAGCATTTTTTAATATTTTCAATTTTTTAATGTTCTTTATTTTAATTTTTCATATTTTATTCTATGAACTTATTTTAATTTTTAACTGTTTTAGGTTACATTAATTTTTTAATATATATATCTCTATGTAATATTACGTACTTGTTTACTATTTTTAATTATATAAAATTGAATTTAAATATTTTGAACGTTTCAAATATTATATACCTATTCAATTTTTTTTAATAAGATGCATATTTCCAAGAATTTCAAAATAATATCTTTTTTCACAAAATTTTCTAATTACTTTTCATTCTATTTAACAGTTTCAATTTTTTTTTATCTTATTACAAAAAAAATTGTTCATTATTATTACTTTTCACTATCTTGTAAGTAGTTTTGTAATTAAAATTTCAATTTTTATATTTTATATTAATTTTATTAACCATTTTTAAAATTTTCATTACAAAAATCTTATTTTGTACATTTTTATAATTTTCCCACATATTTAACTATTTTAAACTTTTTTAGTGTTAATTTCAAACGTTGTATTTTAAAATTGAAATTCGTTTTTGATATTTTAAACTTACTTTACAAGATTTCATCTATTATAGGCTTTTTCTTTACTTCAAGTATTTTTTACTTTTTAATTTAAATTTTAGTTTTTATCGTTTATTGTTTTCGAATGATTATCATTTTTTTAAATTTTAATGAATTCTAACATTTTCCATACAAAAACAAAGTTTTGAATAATTGGTACACTTGAGGATCTAAAACCTTAGTAAGATTCAAAACATGTGTGCATTTGATTTGATAACAGTAGTGTTTCCAGTAGATGCAGCCATGCGGGTGAATAGTAGTCCATTTTTGAAAGAAAAAACGTAGCAAGATTATTTTTGAAAACAAAGTTAAAGGGTGAAAAAAGTGATATTATTTTCACTGTTAGGTTTACTTGTGAAAAATTCCCGATCAAATTAAATCAGATCTTAACAGTTATAATTTACTCAAAGATCAGACATCTATGAGATTAAATTAGACTAGATAACACCAGAAAATTCCACTCCAATTAAATGACTAAAAACCTGCATTTATATTGTACTACATATTTTACATGGTTCTTATAAACGCCCCTTATAAGCAATTCGTTAAAAAGATGCACTTTTTTAAAACAATTGTCAATATGAGCATGTAAAAATAGGCGTGTATAAAGAAAACTACTGCACCTTGATCCACATTTGTTTATTTAACATAAGCAAAACTTAAATAAATAACTCAAATTCTAAAATAACCTCAATGTTTCATACCTTATTCAGGTAGATCAATTAAAAGAATATAACTCAATAATTTAGACACTAGATAATGATTAAATAATGATATAGACCAATCGAATACGGAGTATGTAGTATTTAATCAATTGTCATTTGAATCAATAATCTTTATCATACTGTTTGGTAGAACTAAATGGAGCTTAGTGGTTGTAAAGTAATGATCGCAAATCTCTAAAATTTTACACAAACTTACTTATAAGAGAAAGTGATTATATTGTAATTGTAAGAGATATCGCAGACAACCGCATTAATGAAAATTAACTAACATAATTCAGATAGACAATAACTTCACAGGTTATTCAAGACACATAAATAACTGCTTATCGTGTGTGAGATCGAGAGTAAGATAATGTATCTAAAGAATTGTGTGCAAATAGTTTTTTTCAAGAAACATTTGTATTTGTTTGCGCAAGACTAGGGGAGTGTATTAAAAAATCACTTCTTAAAATCTGGTACTGCCAAAACATGACAATAATTACTCATATTTAGGAAATAAAAACATAATAGTCTTATTTTGGAATACTTAAACTTATTTAGTCCTATTAAGGTACTTTTCATTTGATAAAATATGTGATTTTTGTGTAATAAGAAAAATAATAAACAAATTCTAAGGGGGGTGTCCCGATTATGACTTTGATGGATTTTAAAAGATCATGTATTTTGAAATCCGAGGGGAGTCTACAAGATTAAGGTGAATTGTTTTTGTGTACAGAAATTTATCGAAACTCATTAAAATCCGTACAAATAAGTAACAATAGAAATCCACAAAATGTTTGAAGACACCCTTATTTTCATGGATTCCACATAAATCCAAATCGGGAACACATGGATTCTGACATAATTACAAATTCCATTAAAATTCCTCACGATCCGAATTGGGGACACCCCTAAATGTTCAATTTAAGTACACATGAAAACATTTTTTCAACTTTATAAACCAAAAGTATAACCATTTTTTAGTTTTTTTTCGCGAAGATACCAACAAAGACCAGAGTATACGCAGTGGAATAGAGAGTTTTACAAACCTAGAAAAACCAAACCAGGAAAATAGAATAGGGGGGTGTCCCCAACATGGATTTTAAATGATTTTAAAGGATTGTAGATTCTATGGATTTTAATGAAATTCTACAGATTCAATGAGATTCATATAGAATTCTATGGAATTCTATGGAATTCTATTTGATGGAATTTTGCGTGGTTATGGTGTTAACACCTTACCTTTTTGCTTATTTAATTTTGCGTTTGTGTGGTAAAGTTGAAATATGCTGTGATGCGGTTTTGAATGATAGGAACAAGGGATAGTTTCTGTGGAAGAGTGGAACACATGATGGCGGAAAAACTGGCGCATGAAGAATAACAGACCCAAAATTAACAACAATCCATAGAATAAACCCTTTCTGTAGAATAGCAGACCCAAAATTTAACAACAGTCCATAGAAGAACTGAGAAAAAGTAAAAAAAAAAGGAGACAAACCTGGAGGAGAAGAACGGTCTTTGCTGCGGATGAAGAATGGGGAGGAAAGTGGCTCTCCGCTGCGGAAGAACGTGATAGATAAGTACCGGGTACGTCGGGTTGGTAGGGTGGATTTCAAATCCGAGGGGTGAGACAAAGAGAATGGGTGGAATTGGATTAGTGTTATTTTTCATACCAATTCCATTAAAATCAGTTGAAATCCAAGAGAAACAAATCCATGAAGTAATTGAGGACACCCCGATTTTAAAGGAGTTTTGAAAATCCAGGTTGAGGACACCCGAATTTTGATGGAATTCTAAATTCCTTTAAAATCCGTAAGAATCCATATCGGGGACACCCCCTTACATTCAATGATGATCCACCAGCTTGAATCTGAACCGCGGTTAGGCTTCAAGACCATAGTCCATAGGGGAAGGGGAAGAAGATGACGAAATTGGTGTAATCGCAGGGCCGTGAAATTAAAAACATTTAGACATCAAAGCCCAACAAATTCCTAAAAGCGGAGATCAGAGACAGCCGTTTCCAGTATGAGTGACCTCAATAACCACGCCTCTTTCCCGTCTCAGCCTCAGACGGTGGCGTCTACTGACGATTCTCACCCTCCGCCACTGTCGGCCTCTGTCGAAGCCCCTGCTCAGCTCCCACAAGATGCAACTCCTCCTCCCCAATTTGATCCTAGCCGAAGTAATTTTTCCTTTGTCTATATCCACGATTCACTATTTCACTGCTTGAGATTTTCTATTTTAGTATTTAATATGCATACACTTTTTCTTGACTGCGTTTTAGTGATTGGCATCATCAAAAGGAAGGCTTTGATCAAAGATTTGGCTGCTGTATACCATGCCGAGTGCCTTTCATATTGTCAACAGCTTTTGGAACTTCAAAGAAAACTAGAAGAGGTAAGAAATCTGGACATCATTTTTTATGTCCTTTCACATATTCATTAGCTAATTCTTTTTTGTCCAATAAGCTTTTATCTGGTCCATGAGGTACATAGCAGTTACTAGTTAGTACAGTTGTGCTTGGCTTTTGCTTACTATAGAACAAATCTTGTCCCATTTTGCAGGTAAAGATAATGTTTTTATGTAGTACGTATGATGTTCTATGATTTGTTTTCAATTTTATTTGTACATACCTGAATACGATGTTATCATAAGGCCATGACATCTTTAGGAGTGTATATATACTCTAGTTCTGGTCTTAGATCCATTTCTATGCTGGTTAAGGTCCTTAAGGAAGAGAGGAACAACAAGTTGGTTATTGCCCATTGCCCTAATGACTAATAATGATAAAGAAACAAGAATAATCTTCTGAGTCACATGAAGTCTTGTTTAATATATAAATTTTTACCCACTCGGCCACTCTGATGTACGTTTGTAATATTTCATATTCATCTGTAAATGTAGGTAGTAATACAACTCTAGACTCACTCTTTCTTTAAAATGAAGCAAATATGTGGGCTATATTATAGTTGGTTCGTCTATTTCCCCTATATATTGTTAGTTGTTTTGTACTTCGTATCATGTATGAAATTCTTATTCTACATAACATTTGTTTGCATAGCTGCTTAGTGCTGATTTAATCGTGCGACATAATGAAATACTTACTCAAATCAATGTATAGAAATGTGTGAACACTACCTGTGAAGTTTTATGCTAAAACTCAGATATTAGAAAGTTCATGATGTTTGGATTGCATAACTCATCATGCTAGTTAGGTAGTAAGTTATGGAAGAACCCAAAAAAAACTTTCTTTACTTCTCCTATCAAGTTTGACCTTCAAAACTTCAAAAGTCTTAATAGCTTTGAAAAGCCTTACCTCCAATTCTCTTTCTAATTTTTTGTTCTTGACAAAAGCATATGTTCTTTTTTATGCAATGGGCAACTTATGGAACCCGTGGACATGTATTTTTGCCCTACCCGTGGACATGTATTTTCATGCATTTTAAACTCTTGTGGGATTATTGGGTTCTTAAACTCTTCTAAGAGCCCATGTGGTATCGCTAAAATTGGCTGATTCGGCTGAATTTGCTAAAATTGATGAAATTCTGACTCGAGCCGTTGAATTGGACGAATCTACTGATAATGAAAAAATTTCATTTAAAATATACTTAATTAATAAAAGAAAAATCATATAAAGAAATAGTTAAAATTATCCTCTATAGTAATATAAGCTAATGCTTCATAAAAGTAACTTCAACCTTACTTATTTTGATTATTACACAATTCAACGCACCCAATAAAAAGTTATGAGCCCGTTTGTTAATACTAAAATTGGCGAATGGGTCAGATATGCTCAAAATGATGAAATTCTTGCCATATTATGGTTTTTTATTTATCTAAAATATACTTTATTGATAAAATAAAGAAAAATTACATGAAAATAACTAAAATGATCCTCTACAGCAACTCCAAACAATTTACCCAGAAAATTAATTCTAACCTTACTTGTTTTTTATGATTACACAATTCAGCTTACAAAATCAAAAGTTACATGTTTGATAAAAAAGTTTGCTGATATTATGATAATGCTAAAAAGTTGAAAAAAGGGGTTACCAAATGAGTTCTACGAGTTTGGTAATAAAGTTGTCTGATAAGTTTGTTAGGCATAATATAAGAATTACCAAACTGACTCTAAATAGGACTATAAGAGTTGATGATATATACACCTGAGCTGTCATTTGCCTTGATTATGCATTTTGGGACGTCTAAACCAACTGTTCTCCAAGCTTCTTCATAGACTACTTGTTATTTTGTCAATGAACATGAGCTTATAAAATTTTGCAGCCACAGTTTGACATAAAAACTCCCGAGGATCCAAGGAAAGAGCTGTCAAGACCCCCAAAGAGATTAAAGAAAGCTCGTTAAGCACCCAGTTTACTGGACTGAGTCAACTGAAAACCAGCAAAGATTTGGCATGGGTCTTTCCATTGTGATTTTATCACTTGTAACAAGTAGACAATGTTGAAAGAAAAACCACACTACGTTTAGTTATGTCTAAACACGCTGTGAATATGATGTACTATTGTGTTAGGAGAAAAAGAGGTTTCAAGACTCGAGATATCCACCTTTTGAGACTCAGATAAATATGCGGAATTGTTTTTTCCTCTACCCTCCTGGTCTCACGAGTCTTGTTTTATCTTTCCCAAAACAATTAGATATTTAATTGGATAATACATTGTAATACATTGACCCCTTGGTCGTGAGTTCATTTCCTAGAGACGATGATTTTTTGGGGGGACCAAGGCTTAGATGTTGTTTATTACGTAGTACGGAGTAGTTTTTTCCAGAAGTTGCCTTAAATAGGAGTAAAAATGCTTTGAAATTCCAAAATAGGAGTATCACATTTTTTATTCCTTGAATAGGAGTATCATGTTTTTTATTCCTTGAATAGGAGTAATCTGCCAAGTTTGGAAAAAAATATCATGTTTAAAATTGTAGTAATGTCAAATTTGATAGAAATTTACTCCTATTTAGGGAATGAAAAACATGATAGTCCTATTTCAGAATTTCAAAACTTTTAGACTCCTATAGGGAATTTACTCTTTTTCTTTTTAAATGAAACTAGTGATAGTAGTGTCAATGAGAATCTATCGAGACCAAGCACGCCATGTAGCCATTGGTTTGGTGGTTCCTAAGGTGTTAACAACGTGAGCTGAGCTGAGTGAACACGTTGAGCTCGAGTTGGGCTCGAACCCGTAAAACTTTTGTTTGAGTAAGAGCTTGAAGCTCATGGAGTTCAAACCATGGGGCTCGAATTTGACCTAGAGATGTTCGATGTTTCACGGTTCAATAAGTTTTACAAAAAAGGTCGGATTTAGGGGTTTAGACATTTAGTACTAAGAAATTGAGTACTCCATATCATAGAAGTGTAAAACATGAGTCAAGTTTTAAAAACTAAGAATAATTATATATTATTCCTAAAACAAGACCTATTTGATCTTCATAAAGGAATAAAAAACAATAAAAATGTTTAATGATGTTTTTATTTGGACTTTTTTCAGTCCCAGATCAGACCAGATTTAAAAAGATCAGACTTTTGTAGTTAGAAACTACAAAGAGACCAGACATTTACCACACCAGTTTAGACCAGACCCAAACATAAACAGATCAGACCAGACTTAAACAAATAAGACCAGACCAAACAAACAAATTACAGTTCAAGTAAAAACATCTTAAGAAGGATGGAGTCATGATATGAGAGATAGGTAACAGTACCCCTTAAAGAAATGTATTATGCGTTGATCGTAGGTTAATGGTTATTCCTCCTAATTAGTGTGATGTGCCACTTATGTCTCTGATGGGGTTATGGGACTGGGCCCAGAGCCTAATCGGCCCAGGCCTCGAACTTGGATCAGCAGGCCCAAGCCCAGCGACCTAGAGCTCGAGCTGGCCCAACCGATCAGACCCATCAAGCAGCGAAAGCCCAAGACGACATGTCTTCCAACCCGGTCAGCAGCCTGCCTCCAGCCCAGCGGGGAGCCTGTCTTCCAGCCCGGTCAACGACCTGCCTTCCAGCCCAACGGGGAGCCTGCCTTCCAGCCCAGCCAGGAGCTTGCCTCGAGCCCGCCCGGTGCGGAGCCTGCCGTCCAGTCCAGCGGGAGGGAGCTCAAGTGCCAGCAAGGCCCGACTGGCCAGCCAGGAACAGTAACGACCAAGACAATCAATGCGATATTAATTATGTTTTTAATTCTGTATTTATGTTGTAATTAATTAGTCATTATTGTAGTTGGCAGTTACCATTTGTATGCGCCTATAAAAGGCAATTCGAATTTCAAATGAAGATATGCTATTCTTGACAACTAAAAATCTCTTAGCACTTTCCATTTTCCTATTGATTTCTTGAATTCCTGCTTGAGTGTCGTACGTAGCTTTCCTAAAAGCCTACGAGCGTCCAATTTTGGACCAACATTGGTGCTTTAATTGAGAGCCTCTATTGTCTCTCACATCACTCGAGTAGGAATCACAAAGGAAGATGGCCGAAATCTCGTCCCGACGTGACCATGTCTCAGTCCACCCCGAGGAATCCACCCGGCTTGGCCGCCAACGTGCCCCCGACAACTACGGACAAGGTAGGGGGGCGGCGCGCCAAGGCGACCTTCGGAACCGGTTGTCAGGCCACGGTGACCTGAGGGTGACGCTCAACCACACCCAAGGTGAGCGTTCGGTCCGCAGCCGGCGGAGGGGAGGCCGACGTCATGCTCCGTGCATGGACCCAACTCGACTCAATGCCGGGGTGGAAGCCCTACAGGAGGTGACTCGAGTTCTGGGGGCCTTGGCTCAAGGTTTCCAGCATATGGTGTCTGGTGGAAACGTGGATGAGTGATAAGTCCGTATTTAGACACGCATTTGATGCATGTTTAGATCAAATTTTGATGGTTTCCCTAATTATTTTGTGTCACAAGTCTCATTTTTTAGCTCAAGTCATAGTTACCGGGTGTTGGTTCGAGTTTTGTATTGTTTGGAGTCAAAATCAGGGATTTGAGCCCAACACCAGCGCTTTAGAAGCAATCGGGGTGATTCAAGATGCATTTGAGAATGAATCGAGAGTTTTAGACGTCACCGGGAGGTTTACCACGAAGTTTTGACAACAAAAGAGCTTTAGGAGTGGCTACGGGATCAAATGAAGACGAATAGAGCTTGAAAACGGCGTTCAGGATGACCTTCTGTCAATCGTTCAAGCTTATCTTTTTGTAGAAACATCCAAAGAACACGATTCAAATTCCATATGAAAGCCAATTCAAGGGCTACAAATCATATGAAGACACTATTGCGAGAATCTGAGAGGAGAAATGTGAAAATAGACGAAGAAGTCAGATGATCGTTGTTGCGATTTGAGAATGAGACCTTCCACCATTTTATTCATATCTTTTGATTGGATGATTCAAATACAGTTTTGAAAATTGTGGTGGATAGAGGACTTCATTATCTACAACTTGCATGAAGTAAGCATTGTCAAATTCGGAAATTTTACGCACGCCGTGCGTAGGGGGACGCACGGTCGTGCGTCCGAGGTTGAATTTCAAAGATACACTGCCAGCCACGCACGGGATGTTGTACCATCATCAGGACTTCCATCCCCTCCTCGGTTGGTATCTCTGGGAGATACGCCTCGGGATGTTACGTCTAGCTCGACCATGCTAGATATTTTGGCTGTGGGTGGTGGCTGTTGGTTTGTAGAGGTTTCGGGTTGGATTGGCTGTGGATTTTGGCTTGGTAAAGCAGTTTGCTCAAGTGATCGAGGTCGCTTGTTCTCCCCCTCATGAGGATCCGAATCATCGGGGTCCTCATGGGAACGTTTGCGACCACGAGGACTCTCCTTGCACTTGCTCTTGGTTTCCGGTGAAGAAAGGAGGGCTTCGAGTATGGCTTGCTGATGAAGGGTAAGTTTGTCTTCAGGGGTGTTTAGGAGGTTGTTCAGCAAAGCCGATGCAAGAGTGTCGAAGGATAGTGAGGAGAGATCGATGGAGGGTGTGGTCGGGTGTGGGGAGAATACTGGTTCTGTATCCTGGGTTCCCCGAGAAAGTGAAGGAATGGGAATTTGGTTGATGGATTGGTGAGATAGAGGGGTGGAGGATACGGGTTGTGTATGGGAAATGAAAGGTTCAGGTGAGGGTTGGGGTGGTGTTTGTTCAGACCGAACCGCTTGGGTGGTCCTAAATTCCTGTGCTAGAGCGGTCATTGCATCTTGCACCCATGGTTTAATGGTGGAATCTAGGAAGCGATTTAGTAGAACGTTTACGTCTTCAAAGGTGGGGTGACCAGTTACGGGGGTTGTAACTGTTGACACAGCATTAGTGAAGATTGCTGATGTGTGGCCTGCGTGCAATGATGGAATCATTGTGGGCGTAGCAGGGCTTCCAACCGTCATAGCTTGCGCTCTGGTTGTTGCGTTCAGGGTGTGTGCACCTGTATGTGCAATTAATAGTGTAGGTGTCCTAGAAAATGAAGAAAATGTTGGGAATGTGACACCTAGACTCGATGTGTAAGAAGAAGGGGTTTTGACCTCGGGCGATAGGTCAATTGTACGCTCAACTGATTCAGAAAAAACCAGTGAGGGGGTGGAGTCCCGTTCTTTTGAAACAATAGCCTTTTGAGAGGCTATCGAGTGGCTGGGAGAGGGTTGTGCTTGCGCAGTTGAGCCAGATGCTGCGACTTCTACCCGGGAACCGAAAAGATCGGCTCCTGTGCTTAAGGATTCAGCTCGGCTTATCTGGATAAAGGTATCGCAGCCAGCGAAGATGTGCTCGTCTGCCTTATCAATCAGGCTTTTTCTGACTCGGGGCTGGGGCTTTGCCTTAGCAGCCTTATCATTCTTAACTTTGGCCCTTTTCTCCCGGATGACGACTTCTTTAGAATTCTTAATTTGATGAGCTGCCTCGTCATAGTCGTCCTTTGAGCAGTTTGTCTCGGTGGGATCAACTCTCGGTTTAGCTTTCTCCTTGATGGTGAAGACTTGGGGTCTGCCAGCTATTATCGGTGCTGCATCTTCATCAGTGATTCTTTTCTTCTGTGGAGATTCGACTGGCAGCTTCCCTTTTCTGATCAGGGCATACGTGTGCTCAACATCTTCACTGTCGTTGTCGTCATTGTCATCATCCGAGCCAGATTCCTCGCTATCTGTGCCCACGCTCTCGGATGCCTCGTCGTCAGTGTTTGTTTGGGCTTCACTTGACGATTCATTGGATGTTTCCTCAGCGTCTGTTTCGGTGCCCTCAGCCGCCTGACTCGTCTCTAGAAAGTCGTCAGACTTTCCTTCATTGGGCGAACCGGCCACTGGTTTCTGTGGCTTTTGGGCTCTCTTTGGACCCTTACCATCACTCGGCTTTGTCCCCGGGGTAGGTCCAGCTGGGTTTTGCTGAACCATAGGGACAGTTTTCTCAGTGGCTTCCTTGTACTGCTGGACCACTGGATTTGAAGATTTGACAAGCTTGAGCAGAAATCCAGGGATCCTTAGACCGAAGGTAGGATTCTTGTCAGCTTTGAAATATTGCAGCTTTGGTGCAGTGAAGTGTGGATCTGAGCTCCGTTTTGGTATTGAGGAGTGCTCTGCCATGCAGTCGTGTATGAGTAGCCCGAGCCACCTTGCGTACGGGATGGTACCTGACCTGTTCTTTTCTTTGGCTTTGACCAGGTCCATTAGCTCTGAGAAGAAGAGCTGTGCCAGGTCGTAGTTCTTGTTGAAAGCGATGCCATGAAAGACTAGCAGGATCTGCTTGTTGCACTTGTCGAAGCCGGCATGCTTAG